AGGATTTCTTCCACCTAACGTTTGATTTCACAAACCGTTAGGATTTCTACCACTTGGTGTAATCCCAACACCAAGAATACAAATCCCTTACAATAAAGTAAGAAAACAAACCGCAACCGAGTAATTCTCCCAACACGGAGTAGATTGTTGCAAATACAATGAAGTCCTTTAGAATATGGAAATATCTCTCAAAGACTCAAGCAATGAGGAAAAACTCAAGCAAGAAATGATTTAGCAATCAAAACAATTGCCTTGCTTGGATATAAGGAGGGGATTGAGTAGAATCTCTTTTGGATATTCAAAGGATATGTTTTTGAAGTGTTTTAAGTGCACTTATCAAGATAATCACGAAGAGGGTTGTTTATAGAAGTTAGGGAGTGGATAGAGATGAAAAGAATTCAAAAAATTAGCCCTTTAGTAGTTGAAACTGTCTAACTATTCGACTACATAAAGACTTAGTCGACTAGTTTTGGTGAAACTGCAATCTGACTTATTCAACTAGGTCTGGATTTATTCAACTAAGTCAGAATAGAAGTTCAGGGATTTATTCGAATAGTTTTCAATTTATTCGAATTGTTTGCTGAAAAGAATGTGCTTTAAAGATAGGATGATAAGGGAATGAACCTTAGAGATGCCATACTCTTTAACACATAATCTAAGACCTAAAACACTACCCAACTAAGGAAACAACCTCTTCGGTCTCGTTCCTTCCACCGATGCTCAAGTCCCTTCTTCATGGACGGATATGAACTTGTTGTAGCTTTGATTCTTAGCCTTGATGCACAATATGATGATAATGTTTTGTCACCCTTTTGTCATTATCAAAACCTAAAATACAATGGACAAAGGACATTGCAAAAATATATATTCATGATAGCACATTGTCCAACACCATCAAGTGAAGGGACATGCACAAGAAACTGTGACACACCTTCCTCCAGCCAGCCGTCAAGCTCAAAAATGGAGAACTACGATGAGGAATTTGCCATGATGGTCAAACAATTCCGGAAGCTCAAGAAGTTCTTCAAGAAGGCTGATTCAATCAGAAGGCCATCCAAGGGAAAGCCACAGGTAAGTGACTCCCCTCTTGAATCTTATTTATGCTATAACAGCAGGAAGCCTGGCCACTGGAAGTCAGCATGCCCGTACCCAAAGGTGGAGAAGTACGGAGAAAGAGAAAGGATCGAGAAGAAAAAGAAACCAATGGTTGCTACTGAAAGTGACGAGTCATCCAGCTCAAGCTCGGATGAAGAAGCCCTCGTCTGCATGGAACGCAGAGTTGAGAAGTCCAACCATGAGGATAGGTGGACTATGTCAGAAGATGACACTCTCTGCCTAATGGCCAAAGATGATGCTGATCAAGAGGTAACCTCATAAACCTCCTCCTCATCTTCTTATAGCATACCAACTTCTAAAAATCTTTTTGACCAGTTCAAAAAGATGATGAAAGACTTTGAGGAGATAAATCTCAAACACTCATCCTTAACAGAAGAGAACAAACTATTGAGTGAAGAGAATCTCAAGTTGACTAAAAGTCGGAAAAGTCAACTGAATGAGATCACTCAACTCAAGACTGAAAATGAATCTCTCTCTGAAAAGGTGAAATCTCTTAACAAAGAGCTAGGGATACTCAAGTCCAAAGAAGCAGTGAACAAGCTGCTTGAAACGACCAAACATAAGGGTCGCAAAGGACTTGGGTTTGACCCCTCTAGTTCCAAAAGGAAAGGGAAGACAACTTTCATCCCTCCTAAACCTACTGCCAAACCTAATAAGCAGAAAGGGAAGGAAAAGGAGAAACCAACAGAAGTTCCCAAAAAGGTAGTCCCTCCTAAAAACTATAGGAAGCTGGACAGACCTCAAAAAGGAAACAATTTCAGAAGAAAACCTTCTAACCCCCAATATACACGAGGCTATACTCATTATGGGGCAGATAGGAGTTTTCCGAGAAATTCTGAGTGGAGAACTATGCCAAGATATAGTCATCCTCCACCTCAGAAACTATTTGTGCCACCTAAGGTCACACTATGCACAACCTAGACAAAACTATAGGTCTTATCAACCTAGGTTTGCTAGAAGGAAACAGGAAATTGCACCTCCTGCACGTAGGAAGTTTTATGCCTACAACTATGATTACAATCCCAACAAGTTTAGAGCTGCAAGGAAAATTCCCTGCAACTTTAAACTTGATGTAGGGACACACACCATTAACCATTCCGGACCCAAACTAAAATGGGTACCAAAATCTTCCTCCTCCTAATGCAGGAAGCCGCTAAGTACCCAGGTGTCTGGTACTTAGACAGTGGCTGTTCAAGACACATTAAGGGTGGTGTATTCAATCAGGATTTTGATGGATTGTTTTGGATTCTTAAAATCTATAGGTATTCAATTCAGATTTTAAAAAGTCATTTAAAATCTGGGTGTATTCAATTCAGATTTTAAAAAATCCTTTCAAATATGATGGTATCCAAAAGTTGATAGATTTTTAAAAAATTTTAATTATGTGATTATTAATGGATTTCCATGCCTTGTCTATAAATATAAGTCCAGGTTCCAAATCCCACAAACAACCCTGAGATTTTGACAGACTCTTCTTTCGCACGAATAAGGACCACTTTTTATCTTCTCTTTAGGAGGGTGTATTCAATTGGGATTTAAAATCCACAAAATTAAAATTTTTTAAAAATCTATCAATTTTTAGATACCATCATATTTGAAAGGATTTTTTAAAATCTGAATTGAATACATCCAGATTTTAAATGACTTTTTAAAATCTGAATTGAATACCTACAGATTTTAAGAATCCAAAACAATCCATCAAAATTCTGATTGAATACACCCCCCTAAAGGTAGAATAGACGGTAATTAATTGTTTACACATATAAGTGTGGTAAAGTTGAACTCAACATAATAATTTATCACATTTAGTTATGTGTTGCAAAACAAGCGTGGTTAAATGCACATTTTCTCATAGTGTTTATTGGCTAAGCTTAGTACCGAGTAGTTTTGTAAATAAATAAATTTGGATATTAATGTGTTGAAAATAAAATTATTGTTTTAGTGAATAAACATTAACTTGTAAAATACGTTAAGGTCAAAGATTTGTAACTTGTGTTTATTTGAAAGTCTAAAATGACGTTGTTTCGCTATTTCAAATGAAGTATTAGTAGTATACTTGTCTGAAAATTTGATATTTCAATTATTGCATTTTATGTTTAGAAAGAAAAAAGTCAAAGAACAAATTTTGGTGAGATCGAGTTTTGGAGTAAACTCAAACTCAAAAAACATCTGGTTCCATGTCAGATGATGAGACTTATATTGAGTGAATGCAAAAAAGCATGTGGTTCTATGTCGTGTGATGAGATTTTTTTTGTGAACAAAATCCAAAAAGCTCGTGGTTCTATGTCATGAGATCGATGAGGATCAACATTTTCTCATGTCAACATGACAAAGTGAATTTCTACAAAAAATCCAAACTTACTCTTTGCATAGAAATAAATGATATTTTCATAAAATTATTTTAAATTTTTTTCCCAATGTACATATTTTTGACCTCAAATTATTTTGGAGTTATTATAAAACACTTACAGTTCTTTTGTTTTAGACATTAGTATCTGATTTTGTGTATAGACAAACTTTTACATTTACCCAATAACATTAATTTATGTACATTTTTTAGAAAAACAAATAAAAAAAATTTGCTAATTTTTTAAAAAAGGGTGCTATTTCTAATAATTCTATTTTTGTAAAGATTAAATAATGTAAAAGAATTGTGTGCAACAAACTATTTAAAAGTGTGGTCAAAATGTTTTCCAAATTTTTTTGTTAATAAGTGTTTGATCCAGAATTTCATTTGTTGTTGCACTCTATTGCTTGAGGGCAAACAAGGCTTACGTGTGGAGAATTTGATAAGTCTGTTTTGTACTTACTTATCTTTCTTCGTATTTAATGTGTTATTGTCCAATTTTGGATCAGCCCAGACAATATCTCAATTATTTTTATAAGTTTTTGTTTATAATTGTAAAATTGTACAAAAGTATGTCTTGTTGTAAAAAGAATAAAAATTAAGTCAAAAGTTGTACAAAAGAGGATGAAAGTTAGGGGATGGGATCCTCTGTCCCCAACTCCCTGTCCCCCCTCCCTCCTCCACTCAAATTTTGTCACGTATTCCACCCCACCATAGTTTAACACCCACCCACCCCCTTTGATGGATGGTGGGATAGGGGGTCATATGTGGTGAATGGGTGTTAAATTATGGTGGGGTGGATTACGTGGCAAAATTTGAGTGGAGGAGGGAGGGGGACATGGAATTGGGACAGGGAGTTGGGGACATAGGATCCCATCCCGAAAGTTAGAAAATGCATAGCATCAAGAGAATTGAGGTTAAACTTGAAGAAAACTGCTTCAAGATAAAGATCACAAGCCAAAAAAGAGATTAAATTGGGTCTTGAAGCAAAAAGAATTGAACAAAATGTTGAAAAATGAAGTTTTGGACCGAAAAGCATCTCAAGCCCTGGACAGCCCCCGCCTGGACCTTAGGCCTATGCCTGTTGGATGCCTGGACCTCTGACAAATGCATATCGCAAATTCAATTACGGAAAATCAAGAATATGGCTCAGGCCACCGCCTGGACTTATGTACTTGTTGACGAACGCGTTGACAAGCCCAGGTCTCAACAAGACACCACCTAGGCCCTTGCCTGGACCTCAGGCCCAAGCCTGCTGGAGGCCTGGACTGATTTTCTCCTAAAAAAAGGAGGGTTTCACCCCTCCATTCTCCAATCAACCAATTCCGGGTCTTCTAAGGCCCGAACCTTCTATCTAGCTCTCGTTCTCAGTTATATTTTAATATTTTAGTTTAGTTTTGTTCTGGTTGTCTCAAAGAGGCCCCGGCTCTGCTCTTAGTTGTAAGTTTATTTTTACAACTTTTAAAAAAATGTTCTTTTATTTTATGTACTATTAATATTTAGTATAGGTTAGAACCCGGATTAGGGTCCTGTTTAAATTTGGGTATATACTCTGTATGTTTATTTAATAATTAGATTAATTGTTCTAGAATTATTTTTATTGTTTAATTAATTAATTATGTCAAGAGAAAAATTAATTAATCTATGGAAATTAGTTTTGTCTCTTTTACGAGAATATAAAATTAATTAAGCCAAACGTTTTATAACACATTAATCATACCTTGAGAGTTGATAAGTTATTGAAATACTTGTGACTGAAATAGTATTATTCTAATTATTGATTAAATATGTGACAACGGTAGTTAATTCAGATGATGCCTTGGCCCGAAGTCTAGTCCTATACCCGTACTATTTATTTTTCTTTTTCCTAAAAGCACCTAGTAGTGTCGTATTTTTATTTTCAAATCAAATCTAGAAGACTTTCAGACCCGTCCTAACCTCCGCCTAGTTAGAAAATTTAACTAATTCCCTTCGTCCACTTCTCGAGAGACACGACACTCGGAGAAAACTCACCCTTCATTGAGAAGGTCGACTTCCCGATCCACTAAAACTCCCTTTCTTCTTCTCATTTTCCCTTCACTTTATACCCATCCAAACAATAATTATTCACTTTTCATTTTTTCTTCATTTTCTTTCCTCTGTATTTTTCTTTACATCCATTTTCTTTCCGCTCATTTTCTCTTTTTATCCAAACAATGGCTTAGTTTGGATATCTCTAATGTAAATAAGCGAATACAATGGTGGTAACATCAATATTTTGAGTGGCATGAACCTGCTTCCATCATCATCATCATTATTATTCACTAAAAATAAAATTGTCACCGAAAACAAAATAGTCAAAACCAGATTACACTAGAGAGATGAAATGAGTGTATTTATTAGTAATCATCAACAACTATAATTAATACTAGGAGTCGAGCCATATGGAGGATAAGTTAAGCTAAGTGGTGAGGATGGGGGGAAGGAAGTCAGCTTTAGACCCAAGGACACGAGCCTTGGTGTCAGGAAAGAACTCTGTTCCGGGCAGCTCGGACACGACGCCTTCGCTGCTGACTCCGATGGGGTACCGGAGAAGATGCCCGGGCAAGTCCCTGTCGAGATTATCGCTGGAGTAGAGGTCCCAGTACTTGTCTGCGATGTCGTTTACCTTGCGAACACACTCCTCGCTCTCTGGCTGCAGAAAAGAGTCGTCCAGCATGCCGAGGTGCTCGTACCACAGCCCCATTCGGAACCCGTGAACCTCTCCCCTCGCAGGCTGCCTCCCGCTTGCCAAGTGGTTTGGCTGGTACGCTCCCATGGCTATCTCTGAGTCTCTCGCCCCGTCCATTGATCTCTGGTTTATGTTTGCTGATCCCACAATGATGTACTCGTCGTCAACTGCAAAAACTTAACTGTTATATATACATATCCTTTTTTTTTGTATTTTGAAAAAAAGGAAGAGATCGAGAGCCTAATAAACTCACCGATCATCATCTTGGAGTGAACATAGATCATGAAGCGACGAGCCTTCTGAGCCCTGGCGTAGTCTGAGTCAGGTTCGGGGGTCTCGGAAGGCTCGTATTCGCCACTCTTCTTGGCCTCCCGATTCCCGACGCAGAAGAAGGTCAAGTAATTCCTTGGGTCCTCCTCAATTCCCCTGGCTCTCATGGCTTGGAGAATGTCTTTGTACATCATCTGCATCGTCCTCCTCTGCCAGTCTAATATTGCTTGAACCGACGAGCTCTCCGGGATCCCTTCTGGCCACATTGGGACCAAAACGTAGACGGCGAACCGTTCTCCCACCTCAATCTTGCTTGCGATCTTCAAAGAGAGCTCCTTTGGGACTAGGTGGAGCGCACCGATTTCTGCAGTGTTGATGTCTTCCGAGTCCCAACCAAAAGAGCTTCCCAGGAAATATTGGTTCTCAACGTATATGAAATTCTTGGCCCGACGAATGGCGTTGATATACGCATCCTGGATGCTTCTATCGATGATGTTGTCTTTCCCGCTGACCAGACCTGCCTTTGCTGCCTCCTCAGGCGAGTCGGGGAAGCCGAAAGCTGCCCCGCCGTCAATGGATCTGAACAGCTGGACGTTCCACGTGTCACGATCCTCTGGGAAAGTGACAGGAGACGGCGGGATGATGACTTCGTCCAGTTCTCGCAAATCAAGAATCACGTCCTTCCCGCCCTGCTTCTTCCATCTCTGCTCGAAGTTGTAGAGAACATCCCAAGCCACCGGCCCTTCGAGCCTGGAGTGGATGTCGTGCCAAGGCTCCCGAGGCCCGCCCTTCGCGATGGA